CTCTATTTGATATGTGTGTCCTGCACTAAGTGCCATCTGGAAAGAGTTAGTCTGTGAACGTTTGCACAGAGCCAATAAAAACGTCCGTTTCTCTATCAGGACTGGAGTCCAGGCCGGAGCCGTTATCACCGCGAGAATCAACTTTCACTTTAACAAAACGCTCCGTCTCAGAGTCTAATACGTGTGTGTGTGTGTAGCACAGATACTTGTTTGTCTTCATGTCTGGTGACGTTCAGTCCAGTTGGAGACTCAGTCTTAAGTTTGTGTCTCAGTTCTTCACGTCTCCTTTTGAACCTGTTGTTAATGATCAACAGCCTCTGCTGCGGTGAGGACTAATATTACTGTCACTTTTTAATAATTAATCCTGACACACAGGCCCCCTAGCTGTCAGGAAGGAAAATACACCTGGGTGAGGAAAACTACGGCAAACCGCGCCCTCTAGCGTCTCGTTAACTCATCATCTCATTCTTGTTGACAAAGAGAGGATTTATTCAATTCTGATTTATTGTTGACGTCACTGTGCACGACAGAAACTAAAAACACATTTTCATTCAAAGAGAAAATTAAATTTTAAAAACCCACAAACGACAATGACATGAAAATACTTGCGTGCTAAAAATACTGCTCTCTAGTGGATTTGTTTTTAAACACATGCACAGTCTTGTCAGTCTACGACTAAAGTTACTGCTGAAAAACCACAGCACGAGGGTCAACTCAGGCACAGCTGAAAACGTTTTCAATGAAACCTAAAAAGAATCGAGCTCCGTGTTTTTGGTCACGTCTTCCATCACGAGCAGCACGTGTTCAAGCAGGTCAACAGTTAAAGCAGCTTCATAATAAAACACGACTGTAGTTTCAGACCAACAGACCGACAGCTGAATCAACAGACCGACCGGCTCCACCCTGACAATACTGCAGTACTACACAGTGAAGTACCAGGAGTTTTACAAACTGTAGTCGGACTCTTATAATCACACATTTAGGAAAATAATTTTCATCTCTTTCACTTATTGCACATCACTTCCTGTAGGTCAGGAGAATAATTCCTTAAATAATTAACAAGCTAAGATTAAAGCTAAAATGCTAACGTTCACGTTTGTGCGCTGATACTTCCAGCAGTGTCTGAAATACTGCTGAAAATGGTGTCATTTTTTGTCACATCTACAAAAATCTGTAGTGATTTAAAGTATGTAAAGCCTGTGTGAGATAAAGCTGACGTTAAGGCAAAATTGACCATTTTTTTAACAGTAAAACAAGACAAAAAGTAACTTTTTCACTTTGAGCTTCAGCCAAAACAAAGATGTAAATCTATCAAAAACATACTGTGTTTTCACATACATCAGGGAACGTTCCACTCCTCACCTGTGAACATCAGTCATTTCAAGTTCTTTCAACTTTGACTGTGGAAAATAAACAGTGAAACGTGTGGCCCGCAGCGAGAGAACGGAATTAGATTTTCAATCTGTGAAAATATTGATTAAAGTCGGAATTATGTTGGTAATATAAAAAAAAATAAAATCAACTTTGTCAGAATTCTAACTTTGAGTTAATAAGTTCAGACTTTAAAGGCAGAATTCTTAGACTGAAATTAGAAAAAATCCAACACCAAAATTCAGACAAAAAAAAAAGTGCTAAAACGTTTCCTTAATTTCCATCTCAAGCTTCACTACCGACTGTGAAACAACCTAAAAATAGTTTAAAGTCGGAACCAACAACAACATTATTATTATTTCATTAAAACTGCGTTCACAGAGTGACTGCACCGCGGCGTTAGCGAACATGCTAATGTGCTGTGTCGTCATTTCACTGTTTATGACGTCACTCATTCATTTCATTTTAGACATTATTAATGTGAAGATTTTCTTTATATTTACCTTTTTTTTTTTTAAATAAATACTTTCAAGTGCAGTTTGTATGATCTCATTTCTGAAGTATTTCAAGAGAAAACACTTCAGTTTCCATTAAAACACAAAAACAAATTTAGTTCTACGACGGTTAAAACATGTCGAACCAAGACTTCGGTCTCTCCTCGAGAACTGAGTCTGACTGACGCTGATTGATGTAAAATAAAACCTTGTCATAACCCAGTGCTGACAACAGGTTAGAAAAGAATTCACTGGAACTGGAACAAAGTAAAAGATGAAACTTCACCCACTGAGGTCCAGTCGTCGACCGTCTGCTGCTGCAGACGTTCAGTCGTGGTCCAGCGTCAACACGCGGTGACATCACTGTTGTCTCAGCGTCCAAAGTTCAACAACCTTCAATCTCCCCGTGAACGTTTCCCTCCGGCGTTCGCTGTGACGTCATCACATCCAGCTGATGGTGAAGTTCTGACTGAGGTTGATGCCGAGATCCTGAACATGTAGAACCTGCAACCACACAGAAGCTGTTCTAAACCTGAGGCCTCAAAAATCAAATGAGCGGACCACTCCGTGCCCCCGCCCCCCCAGCCCTACACCGCTGCTGCCTTGCTCCTGGGTGTCTCACCTGGTTGTCTGTGTAGGTGAACAGTGCATCCTGGGAGTTCACCAAGACTCTGCTGGGCTTCTCCTTCAGCCCATAGAAGGAGGCGGACTCCACCGTGATGTACGTGGCCTCCTCGTCACTGTGAAGGACCTGGGAGGTCATCACGTTCTGCAGGACAAAACGACGGTCACACGATCACGTCTCAGTCAAGACAGAGTTGTTGGTGTTATTATTTTTAATGGAGTGAGGGTAAAAAAAAAAAAGAACCTGGGCGACACTGAAGACGATGTAGGCGTATTTGTCGCTCTCGTATGTGTCCAGACTCTGGCCGTCGTCCCAGAACAAATCCCCGGAGGCTGAACCGTCGTCAGAGAGCGCGGCGACCAGGTGCAGCGGCTGACCACTGCTCACCCACAGGGTCAGGTTGGGCGCCTGGAAAACAGTCAGGAAATATTAAACTGACTTTTCTAGGTGGCGCTCTTCTTGCTCCTGTCAAACAGAGAACGAAGCTCCGTGTCATTAATCTACCTGTGTCGGTAAAACTGATCCTTCACGCACGTGCAGGTTGATCTTATCTAGAGGAGCGTGAAGTTGAATCTCTTCACCTTTGCTGAGCACAGAATCACCCTGAGAAGAAGAAGAAGGAGGAGCAGGAGGAGAAGATCAACATTTTTATGTTTTATTTCAGAATTATTCCAACATGAAAATCTGGTTCTTACTGTGTAGAAGTCGAACCACAGCCCCTCTGGGAAGTAGCCGTTCACGTAATCCACCCCAGGGTCCAACACCGGCGTCACCAACAAACTCTTCCCCCACAGGAACTGTTTGTCGATCCCATACGTTTTTATATCTTTAGGAAATCTGTCAGAGTTCAAACAGAGGGAAACGTGTAAAAAAAAAAAAAGGTAAAAAACAAAACCTACGTCCTGGGGTTTTCATGTTCCACTTACTCAAACATCAGTGGACGTGCAACAGTGTGGCCGTGCACGTTTGCGTGATGAAAGAGTGTGTAGAGGACGGGGAAGAGGGAATATCTCAGCAGCAGCGCCCCCTTCATGGCTGTCCGAGCCAGAGGACTGAACACAGTGGGATCCTGAGGCTGGAGAAGAGGTTGAAGAAGGACCAATCACATCACTTCCTGTCCAGGGAGTTTGGTTTTTTCATCCTTTGGCTGTGTTTCGCAACTTATATATTAGAATATATAATTTCACATTTGTTATTTTCACACTGACTGCAGCTAGGGGGCACTCTAGGCTTTTGTACCAGGATCTGCTGCTCCTGTAAGTCGGAATTTTTCATCCTTTGGTTGGTGCGACTTATACTCCGGAAAATACGGTAAATGGTTTAAGACATGACTGATCGACGTTCCGTTCTGTTCCGATCTATTCCAATAACTACGACTGATGATTTTATTTTCCTGCCGTCGTCAACCGTCACACGGTGAAGAACATTTTACCTCCATGCCGATGGCGTTGTGGTTGCGTGTGAAGGGATAGAAAGCGCCGAGTTGCGTCCAGCGCACGCACAGCTCCTCCTCCGTCTCCTCACTGAATCCACAGATGTCTGCTCCCACCAGAGGGATGCCCAGGAGGTTAAAGGTCAAGATGCCTACAGTAAATAAATAAATAAATAAAACATTTTCAAAATGATACATTCTACGATTTCAAGCTCTTCACAGAAACCGCTCGTCACACGAAGGTCGTTGACGTTAATGTGTTGTTTTCACGGCGCGGGTCATTGGTTCAACCACACACACACACGTGTCGTCGACGTCGTGCAGATCATGAATGATCACGTCACCTGCTATGGACGTGTACAGGTCTTTCCACTGACTCCTGTTGTCTCCCAGCCAGTGGCCCGAGAACACGCCCTGACTGGGGAAGGTGGAGCGGGAGATGACAAACGGCCTCTTGGCCAGAATCCTCTTCAGGGCACTGGAAAAGAAGACGTCTGAAGATGAAGTGTTGTGGAGGTGTAGGTGTGTGTGTGTGTGTGTGTGTGTGTGTGTGTGTGTGTCCTGACCTGGCCGAGGCCTTGGCCTCCATGAGTCCGTACAGACTGTGCATGTTGTAGTGGACGGACTGCTTCTGCTGGGCCGTGGCACACACTGTTTTGGCTCGCAGCAAACCTCCCAGAATGCCTTGGGGTAAAATAAAACACACAAAGACACAGTGTTTCAGGTTTACGCTGTGAATGTACCATGTGATTCTGTCGATGGTCTGGGCTTCCCACCAGGTGTGTATGGAGGATCTTCAAGGCTGCTTGACGGACAGCCGTTGGTCGACCCGTCCAGGAAATTGGACGGTTCGTTCATGTCCTGCAAAAAAGTGTGGGAAAAAAGTCAGAGAATTTGAACATTTTAACACTCGACGCTGTGATTCGTCAACTCACGATCCATAATCCATCAAACGGCACTTTGTCGTGGAACCTCTGCAGGCTCTCGTACCACCACTCATGAGTGACCTCATCAGAGAAATCTGGGTACGCCGTCAGACCAGGCCACACCTGGAAGAGAAAAAAAAAAATTCTTATTCATCCTTTGATTTTTATATTCTATAAACATGAAAACAAATGTAAGAAACACTAGCGTTGTTTAAAATAAATTAAATAATTAACATTTTGCACTAGGACACAGAACAGGGGTGTCAAACATACAACCCGCCCGGCCCCAAAAACCCCCCCCGCGGGGGGGGCACATGCCCCCGC